CGCCATTTTATACCAAAATATGGTGTATCAACCATAAAGCAAAATTTTATATCTAAACTTGTGTAATTTAAAAAATAATTAACTTTATTTGATTTTAGACATACTAAAGCGCTGGTGGAAAAAAAAAAAAAAAAAAAAAGTTTATTTGTGCTAAAAAAATGCTGTAAAACACTGCGTTTTTATAAAAAAAGGCAAAATTCGCGTATTTTCCAGAACATGCATTAACGGCGTTGAGTAGTTTAGAAATTTTCTTTATTTGTTGTAATTTAGCAAAATTATTAGCGTAATACGTCGTGGTGTGTTAGTGTAATAGCGAGGTAGCAAATTTTTAAATAAACAGCAGATATTTTTTCAATAACTTTTACAATAACCAATTTTTAAAAATAAGTATTTAACGTTATGGAAATTGAAAAAGTTAATATATATTTTACCATGGCGACTTGCTCTAAAAAACTTTGACCAAAGTTTTATGAACTTAATATAATTTTTTGTTAAAAAGATTTAATCGCCAAATGATATAAAATTTAAAAAATACAATTGTGTTAACATTTGTTTTTTGAATAATAAAACTGTTAATTTTTTCTACTAATTTATAAGTTAAAAAAAAAAAAATTAGAATTATTTAAATATTATTTAAAAAAAAAAAATTAGAATTATTTAAATACTCAAAACCTTTGCAAACAATCATATAAAATGAAACTTGATGTCAAATATTTATTATTTATTTCTAGGTAGTATTTAATTGGTCGTTAACTTAAAAGCAAACGTGCAATTATTTTTCATTAGATTCGCCGGCAAGAAGCAAATACTTAGGTCTCCATTTTACCGACCGCAGCTAGTTGGAAGGAACAAGCCATTGGAGGCGGCCTCCAAATGATTTTGCCCCACAAACTTTTTTGGAGGTCTTCCACTCACATATGGCGTTGGTCTCCAAAACATTTTGGCTCTAAAAAAAAACTCCTGTTGCGGCCGCCTGGTGTGTGTTAAGAAAAGTTATTGTGTTATGTTTTTGTGTAATGCCTTTATTTGTATGAACCTAAAAAGCACAATTCAATGTTTTTGATTTTTGCGTTGGGGACCTAAGAGATTATTAAGAATTTCCATTGTATTGTATATCTTGAATCTTGCGATACCTCTCCCAATAAATAAATTTTTAAGTCAAAATATGGTTTATTACTAAATTAGGACTTTTTCGGATGTTTTCAATATTTTTTATTTTTAATGCCTTCCAAACACTAAAGAATTAATAATTAATCACCTTACACTTTCATCTTGTAATCAAGTAACACTTTTTTGACCAATAGCATTATTATTTACTGAGAGTTAACTTGAAGGACGTTTTTCTTTTCATTGATTAACCTGTGCAAACTACACATTGACATTGCTTAAAATATCCTTCATGAGACTTTTTCTTATTTAATATCAAATTATTATAAGACTTTTATCTGAAACAATTTTTATTTTATTGTGTATTTGTTTGCCATAAATTCGTACTTTAGTACTTAAGAATTATTTCACTTATAAGTTTTTTCTCCAAATGTTATTTCTTGCGCAACGTTTTATTGACTTTCTTTAAAGTATACCTACGTAATTTAATTAAAATGAAACAAACTATGGACAGAAGTAAGTCCTCTCAAATGTTGCAACATAAAAAGTCTTTGACACAGACGTAGAAGTGGGTTTTACTTGCTTGTTTTGAGGATGATACCAGACAAAGGTTTCTAGGAATGAGCATTAAAATATTCGAAACGTCAAATACCAGATTATTGATTCAAAAATATGGTTATTACTACATCAATTTCCTAACAAGAGTCTGGTATGATACGGCATAATTTTTACTTTTATTTTAACGCTGAAATATTTTTTTTTTTTTTTTTTAACTAATTATGCGCGTGTTTTCCTTTTATAATGTATGTTTGCTTTTGTTGCTTGTTATAAGACTTCTGCTTTATGGTTGTATTTAATGTCTAATGAATTGAGTAACTTTGTTAAAAATGTTATTTCGTATTTTGTTAAAAATGTTATTCCGTATATCACATTATGCTTACCACAACAATGACAATTGTTAATAATTGTTTTGATTTTTGTAATACTTTTTTGTTTATTTATCTTATAATTTTCTGAATGTTATAGTGGTGGGTTAGGACTTCTTGGGGCCCAAGCAATTTTTGTTTTAGAGGCTTTTTTTAAGGGCCAGAGCCTAAAAATGACAAAAAAAAAAAGAAAAAAAAGTCCTCTCAAATTTGTCGGGCCCCTAAATTTGCGGGGCCCGAGGCTATAGCCCCTCTCGCCCCTTGATCCGGCACTGATAGGTTGAATTAGAGTTTCCTATATTTTACCTAAGGCTGAAAGGGTTTGGGTTGCATGAAAATAAACAAAATTATTGTGTTTGTCGCTCTTTGAGAATATAAACTAAGTGTAAAACGAATGTTTCTACAAAAAGGGTGCATGTTTTTATATAACAAATTTACTAAAAGGATCGACTCCACTGAAGGGTATGAATTATAATTATAATTAGTTCTGTTTTAAGTTAAAAAAAAATGTAATTAAGTAAAAGCAAAAACAATTTCTAATATAATTAATCACTTCTTTCAGTGGAACATGCTCAACCGTAAATGTTATCAGGCATTTACGGCTAAATATGTTCCGCTACTGACTATATCTACTTGTTCGAGTTGCGAACCTTATACATAAAATAAACATAATAACATCGGAACTAAACAAGACGGATATAAAAATTATTTACAAACACACTGAATCATACAATTAAAGACATTAAAAGACACATAAAACTTTAACATTTAGAACAGTACAAAAACAAAACACAATAAATTACAGAACACTGAAACAATACTTATTAAAATCTAACATAACCAACTCTCACTTAACTCAAACTTAATCACTGATTAATACTTCCCTTTCAAACACTTGTTCTCAATACTGGACATCTGTCCAAATATTATAACTTATCAAGCACTTTCTTGCACTTATATAAAATATTTCTTCCTTTTCTTAAGACTATTACGTCCTGATGGTACCATATAACTGGAAGAACCTTAACAGCTTCCACTGCAAAACAATAGCATGCGGAAGAAAAAAGATTTTGCCATTAGAAATTCATTGGAAGGCCGTCGCAAACAGTCTTGGCTTCTATAAATGTTCGGCTTTTTCGCAGAGACTTGCTTTGCCGCAGGGATAATCAATCCTGTATTTACATTTCCATCTTATTAATATATTCACATACCCTAACACATACATACAAACTGTATATATCTATAAGTATATACATAAATACATATACAGACTCTGAATAACATATATACATACATACATACATACATACATACATACATACATACAGACATACACAGATACATACATACATAGATACATACATAGATACATAGACACATACATAGATACATACATGCATACATTCATACAAACTTAAAACTGAAAAGCTGCTAAGAATTCAAAAGCATATGAAATAACTCAATTAAAAGACTACATAATTTTTTTTTATTATTTTCTTTTTTTTTAATATGTTGATTACATCACTTTTGTTTTCATGGCCTCATATTTATACCCACATGGAGACATTTATTCAAAAGTATCCACAAATCAATAATATATAGTATTTACATTACAATAGCTTGTTCACAAGTTTATTATGTTAAATAGGTATTACAGTAATGTTTTTAATGACTAAATACTGATAGAGTATCACATTATAGGCATAAATCAATAAGTATAAACTCTAGAAAGAACAGTAGAAATTCTAGAATGATAAGAGTAAGTTGATTAAGTTGTAGATTATTTAAAAATAGGTGTTTTATTATCCAATAATCCATGTAGTATCAAGAAAGTGGTTAGTTAGAATATATATCTATAGCACTAATGAAAGTTGTTGCAACACGTGTTGGTTTGGTAATGATTTGGAAAATACCATGTTTAAGCATATGTCATAAAAGATCTTAGTAATAAGGTGTTCATTGTGTTTTAAACCATCTATGTTAATATCACCAATACAGAATAATCTTTTTTTTCATTACTGCTTTTGATAAAAATTTGTTACAAATAATTTTAAAATTAAATAACATCGCCTTCAGGTGGTCAATAACAAATCGAAACTACAATGTTTTTGTGTTTTTAATTATTATTTCATTTGTTAGGACCTTACTGTCTGAATTAGAGATCGAAAGCTCTTTTCTAATTATATTATCCCAACCATTATGAATGTAAACTAAAATTCCTTCTAACTTTTAATCGTTTTTTTTCTCAAATGAATTAATTTTATTATTAGGAATCTGAAAATTCAAATAATTTTGAGATGACTTATCATCACACCATGACTAGGTGAGACAAGTCATTAAAAAAAGAAATTGGGTTCTAAAAGAAAGTTTTTTAGTTTGTCTACATTTACATTTATAGATCTGATATTGATGTTTATCAACATGAAACATTTTATATTTGTTTTTAATTTTAATTATAAAGAAAGTTCTTATAAAAAAAAATTGAAATAAATAGGTTTATATTTAAAAAAAGTTTATATTATAAAAGGGTTTGTTTAACAAAAAACTTAAAATTAACTTATTATTTTTAAAAAGAAGCAATAACAATTGATTATAAAAACAGTTATAAATATTTAAAAAAATGAAAAAGCCTTATCAAACTTTCTGCCGTTGCCAATGGAAAAAAAGTCTAATCATCTGTTATTTCTAATTATCTTATTGCTAAATATTTTTTAATACAAAACTATTAATATTATCTCGTATTTATGTTGGCGTATTATGTATTAATATTATCTAGTATTATGTTGGCGTAAACAATTCATGTTGATTTAACATTTTTGTCTGTTATGTCTAACATAAAGCTTTTATAAATGTCTACCACGCTATGTTTATATTATTCCTCAGACATGCCTATCAATTTATCACCCTAAAAACAAAACACTATATAAAATATACCTTAGATTGTGTTACAACATCAATTAAGGAGAGTTCATCAACAAACAAACAAATTTTTAATGTAGGAGAGTTTAAAACTGTAACAAACAGCTATCATTTTCTTTTTTAACATCAAGTCGATCAAGGTGTTTGCATGTTGAGTTCTACATTTATTTTACTATCATTATTTTTGGTAATTACAGTTTTATTTTTTTAAATTGTTATCCACAAATAGTTAAAGATCACGCACTGTTCAAATAAGTTTTTAAACCTAATTTTTTCACCATTATTAGACTTTTGTTATATATTTTATATCAATTAAGAAAAATAAAGAAAATTTAAAGCGAAAGTTAATTTTGTTTTCAATAGTGCCTACAAATTTTATTTCTATAATGATGCTAGCATATATTTATCTTGTACTAAAGTATTAGCCCTTGATCTCTTGCATAATTTTTCTCAGAGGACACGGTTTTACTGGTTTATACAAAGACAGTTTAAATCAGCACAAAATATATTGTTTTAGTAATTATTTATAAAGATTATTATAATACTAGCTGTAATGACGAGTAAAATACGGGTCTTCGTAAATCTATTCCGTACCGACCTTTTTTTTATACTTATTCCTTACTTTAATATATTTTAGTAATAGGTAGAAAAGTAATCTAATAGGTAGAAAAGTAATTGTATTTAATAATTAAATACATATAAAATAACAATACTTATCGCTTATTAAAGCTATAAGATAAGTTTTCTACTATATTTTACTTCAAAAATCTTTTAACGTTTCGGTAGACATTGCGTGAATCGCTATATATTCACGAAACCAATATTAGTAACAGTCTATATATATATAAAACGGGGACGGACCTTATTATTACTTTTTTTTAACAAGTTTCTTAAAACTTTTTTTAAGGCCATCAGCAGCTTATTCCGTAGATCATCGAGGTTATTTTATAAAATTCCGGAAAATTGTTTAGTTAAAATATCCGGAATATAATTTCATCTCAATTTAAGTTTTTTCAAAATTCTTTTTTAATTTTAGTATAAGTGTGAAAGCTTAAAAAATAAATTTATTACCAAAAAGTATTCCTAAACTTGTCCATGTATCAACAACGTTTTTGCTTTCCGGAAAAACTAAAAGTTAAGAAAAATTCGGGAAAAAATCCCTGGTATTAGGACTTTTTCCCTATTAGTTTTAAAAAAAAGTAAAGTTTCTATGTGAAATCTTTTTTATATAAAAAAGAAGTTTATCTCTTTAATGCGCACATTTAATCTATTACTAAGCACATCAAAACCTTCAACTCTAACGTGACCTACGCGCGCAACTTCTTCGAATGGTGTTTTCGTGTTTTTAGAGATTTTGAAAAGCATTTTAAAAAATTCTCTCCCTTTCGTTTTTTAAAGTATATTTTTATATATGATATGTATTTAGTCTCTATAGAACTTTAAAGTTGCTTTACTTTGACAAAAAAAAAATTAAATATGAATACGAAAAGGTTTAGACACACGCGAATTACTTCAACCACTTTGGCATGCTACAGTATTATCTTTAAATACTGTTAACTAATAATTTATTGAACTTTATAAAACATCATCAAATTGTTTATAAAACTTTATAAAACATTATAAAAGGGCATTAAATGCTTTAATAAAAATTCATATATAAATCAAAATTAAGAAAATATTGCCCTAATAAAGTTTAAGTAAAAGTAAATGTTTAACATTTAACGAAATTTTTAATAATTTACATTAGAGAGCCTATATACTCAGAGAGCGGACATACGAGTGATCGTTTTTGATTGGTTGTTCGATTTTTATGATTTTAGACGCCATCTTTTTGCCAAAAATACTAACTGCAAATAAAGTCTAGTACTAAATTTGTATTAAATATTTGTAAAAGTATGCCTGGTTGTGCTGCAGTAGGCTGCCATAACAGGCCTGAGAAAAGATTTATTATGAAATGCTTCTCAAGAAATGAAAAACAACGGGCGATTTGGAATTCTAAAGTTAAACGTCTTAACTGGATACCTATAAACACAAGCTTTTTATGTAAAGTAAGCATAAAAAAATACAGTTTTATGTAATTAATCCTAGAAATGAGTTATTTTAAAATCCATACAAATACATTATATTCGTTCAATTTTTTTATTAAGGTACACTTTGATGCTAATCAATGGGAAAAAACCAGAGAAGATGGATCAAGAAAACTCAAATATAATGCAATTCCTACTGCCTTTAAACATGTTAGAGCAAAACATAAGCGAAAAATTCCACTCGAGCGTTTTCCAATACCAAAAAAAAGAAAATAAGTTGTATAGAAAGTGGAGAAGTTGTGGAAAATATTTTAATTGAAGTAAATAACAATATAGTATCTAAATCACTTTGCACAACTGAGGTTGATAAAAGTTTACTTATACAAGATTTAAATGCGAAATTGAAGATTAGAAAAAAAAGTCATTAATCAAAAAAAAAAATTAACATTTTAAAATCGAAAGCAAGTATAAATACTATTCAAAAATATAATCATATAAAGAGAGATAAATTTAGAGTTTTGAAAACAATATTTAAAGAAGATCAAATTTTATCTTTAAGTAGAAAAAATATGAAATTCATTAAATGGTCAAACGATACTATAAATGAAGCATTAGAACTTAAATTTACATGCGGTCAAAGTGGTTATGAAAAGTTACTTCGTTTAAACTTACCATACCCATCATTACGTACCCTACGACGAAGATTAGAAAATCTAAAATTTCAAAGTGGCATTCTAACAGAAGTCTTTGAGTTTATGAAAACTAAGGTGAATGCCATGAAAATCCATGAAAAAGAATGTGTTTTAATTCTTGATGAAATGTCAGTAACTGAAAGTGACTATGACACATCTACAAGCTATTACTATGGAGTTGTTACATTACCTGAACATTATGGCCAAGCTTACCATGCTTTAGTTTTTATGCTTGGAGGAATATCTGCAAGATGGAAACAAACTGTTGTATATTATTATACTGGAAGTTCTGTTAATGGGGGTGTTTTAAAAAACATTGCCCTATCTATAATAAAGTATACTGAAGAAATAGGATTAAAAATTAATAGTGTTACTTCTGATATGGGTGCCATTAACCAGGCAATGTGGAAATCTTTTAATATTAGCTGTACTAAAATTGGCAGTATTTCTAGTTCAATTAAACACCCATGGGACCCTACTGATTTTTGATTTTTGAGCAGACGTACCACATTTATTAAAGAATATAAGAACATCTCTTTTATGTAACAAACATTTTATAATAACAGCTAAGATGAAAAACATTTCAACAAAATGAAAGTATCAAGAGCAACATCTATAATAAATCATGATGTAAGTTGTGGATTAAAAATTATTGCAAGTGAAATAAAAGATGATTCTATTCTCACAAGTGCTTGGTTTATAGGAATTGTTGATAAATGGTTTACATTAATGACTTCACGAAACCCAGGTATGGCTCTTAGCATGAAAAATGACAAAGTTTACAATGAAACAATAACTTTTTAAAATGAAATCATAAAGATATTCAATGGTTTAAAAATATTAGGCCAAACTGGAAAAATAAGGTGGAAACCTATTCAATCTGGTGTTATATTATCAACAACATCAGTTATTAACTTGCAAAATAAGTTTCTTCTAGAAAAAAAGTTTGATTTTCTAATGACATCACAATTTACGCAAGATTGCCTGGAGAAACTTTTTTCCCTGGTACGTGCAAAACAAGTAATTCCTACTGCTCTTCAATTTAAAAATAACTTGAAACTTATTTGCGTTGCCCAATTCTTGAAAAAATCATCAAAAGGCAGTTATGATATAGATGACCGTCAATTCTTATCTGGTTTTCTTGATATAGTTAATAGTAAGGTGCATAAGCCACAGCAAAGAAAGTGCATTTTGTTATCTAAAGATTGGGATAAAACCTCTAACTTAATCTTAAGTAATGCTGAGCAAAATTGTTTGTATCATATTGCACGTTATATAATTTCTAGAGTTAAAAAAATTGAAAAAGTTTGTACAATTTGTTTTGAATCTATAGTTTCTAAAAATAGAGTTAATGCTGATTGTTACAGACAAAGAGCACAAAGTGGGTAGTTTATTTTTTGCTAATGAAACAACATTTGCATTCTTTTTACAAATGGAATTAATATTCAAATCTTTTGAGCCATACCTTAATTCTTAAAAGAATTGTAATACTATGGTTTTAAAGAAAATTAAATCTGATGAACAAATTAAAAGTCTAATTTTGTATCCTAGTTGTCATCAAATTAAATTGAGTCTAAAAAACAGGTTTATAACATTCAGACTTAAAATATTTAGCCTTAAAAAAAAGCGTTTATTATGTAAAAAGAAAAAAACTAAAAAAGTTTCTTGTGAACTTGGCAGCAAGAGTATGACAATGCATGCATTGGCACTAAAGGTTTAGGTTCAACTAATTTATAAAATAAACTGTAAAACTTTTTTCAAATTACTTATTGATTACAACTACATTTTTGCTGTGTTTTTTTTAAAGGTATTTCGTAAATAAATAAATAATTTTGTCGAAAAATAATTTTGAAATAATAAAACATAAAAAGGTTTAATTTTTAAAAATATATTTTTGTTGAAAATATTATTGTGCTCATTTTCTTTTAATTGTTTTTACTTGAATTCGTGAATGTCAATTGGCAAAAACATGGCCGCCGTTCTTCCGTATTTTCCGTATGTCCGCTCTCTGAGTATATAGGCTCTCTAATTTACATAACTTGAATTTTACGTTAGATATTCACATAGACATTTGTTTAGATATAATATACGAATGATGAAGGGTTGTGGTTCCAAAAAAAATGCCTAATAGCTATGTAAAATTAAAGTTATTTTTATTTACACATTTATTAGCAAATTAAAAAAACATATAACTTTTGATAGTTTCTAATTGTATGTCTATATTGAACAAACACGTCATCTGATTAATCTAAAAAGTAATCGAATTAAAAAAAGAAAAAAATACACCACATGTATTAAGTGGATACTAATTTAATTAAACATATTAACAAAATAAATTGTATAAAGAAAAGCATCAATTTACAAAAAAAAACTAAACTAAGTTTGCATTATCAATTACCAATTGGAAGATTAACCAACTACAAAATTACTAATTTTAGATGCAGCATAATTTTTTTTCCACCACTCTCCTCATTCTTGACTTTTTACAGGATCAACACTATATTTAAAAAAAAAAAGAAGGAGGGGAGAGAGAGCACGATTTTGCCCTGCATTTATGCCCACATTTTATGTGTCTTATGAGATGTAAGCCCTCTATTTAAGCTGCCTAAAATAAAAAAATTAAGACATGAAAAAAGAAGTAAAAACAATAAAGATTAACAATACGGACCAATTTACCTGTTGTTGAGCATTGGTAAAAATAGTCAAAACCTGTATGAAAATTTTTTATTTTTTGATTGAACTTTGAGTTTTCTTTCTTAAACTAATCTAAAATGCAGTGTAAGCAAATAAAACAGGATAGTGTATTATTTTATTTATGTTCTACTTATTTAGTTATATTTAAATTAGTTTTTTTAAAAGAGTTAAGCAATGCCTAAATATAACATATTTCTATCAAGAACCTAAACTAAACTTATAAATGTATTGATATAGTCTTTTTAACTGAGTATTGTTATATATTTTTGTTATTAATTATTGACAAAATATTATTAGTGTTTATTCAAAAAAACAAAAAAACCTAAAAAGCAATTTTTTACGCATTTAAGAACTCATAAACAAAGCAAATTAAAAAAATATACGGCCTGTCAGCTTAGCAAGTACTGCTAGCATGGAACGATAAAATGTAATCATTCATTAAAAAAAACCCTTTCATTATTTTGAAACGAATTTAATGCAAGATTTGCAACAAAAAAAATAAAAAACTAACAAAAGAAAACCCTATAAGCACCTATATATTTGCTTAAAGTGAAGAAACTTAGAAATAATGAATTTTTTTTAACTATTTTAACTTCTTTTAGAAATTTTAAAATAAAGGTTCCAATAAGTTTATATATATATATATATATATATATATATATATATATATATATATATATATATATATATATATATATATATATATATATATATATATATATATATATATATATATGTATAAATTAGTAGAAAATCACTTAGCAAAGTTTTTTCTCATTTAAAACTGTGTTTCATCTAAAAAGACTCATCAGAAATGAATAATCAAATTAATAAAACTTCAATTTATACCAAAACACAAGTGAAACACAGTGTATATATATATATATATATATATATATATATATATATATATATATATATAAATATATATATATGTATATATATATATATATATATATACATATATATATATATATATATATATATATATATATATATATATATATATATATATATATATATATATATATATATATATATATATATATATATATATATATATATATATATATATATATATATATATATATATATATATACATATATATATATAAGAATTCTAATATACAAAGCTGGTTTTGATGGTGCAACTTGGCATCCTGTTTGTAAATAACAGATGATGCGATGTAACTTAATACTGACGAATCGCTATTTATAACTTGCTTTGTTCCTCTAGAACTATGCACAGTAAAAAATATAACGCTAACATCACGCTTACACAACGGTTAGTGAAAAATTTAGCATTATGTTTACCATTGTGTTAGTAAAAAATATGTTTTAAGCGTTATGATGCCCAAAGTTATATATATATATTTTTGCCTAAGAAAGGTGTTTACGATTTAACGTTATGTTACCGGTTATGTTAGTTTAAATACGTATTAGTATGACATCATAGAAATATATTTAAAAAAGCCGGATTGTATAAGCTATTCTTTTTATAAGCAGAAGGCCACAAAAACAAGTTTTGTTAACACTATTTATTAGTTTATGTTTATTTAGTTAATGAGCCTCATTCTGTTATTATAGGTTGTTGCTAATGTAGTATATTGCTTTCCATTTATTATTATTAAGTAATATTGTCATACTGTCATTCATTTTTATTAATATTATGTTTAACATACATAAAACTAATAAAGATTATTATTATGACAACAACATACCTATATGTACATATTTAATGTTTAAAAACTTTTTTTTTAGTTCTATTTTTATAGGCTCAACTCTGAATTTGTTTTTTACTTTTTGAATTGTTTTTTCACAAAATATTGTATTTTAACATTTTTTTACTATATTGTAAACAGTAGTTTTTTGTGTGAAATATATTTATTGATTGATTAAATTATTATTGCTTTGATAAGAGTTATAACAACCCATGTGGTCTAAAATTCCACTTTAATGATCTATTTAGAGATATAATTATAAATAAAAATATAATAAAAGTTTGTCATTTCAGAGTTCATCATTTCAAACCCAGAAGCAATGCACTAAGCAGACCTGTTTTAGTATAACTAACCAATAATGCTAACAAAGTAGAAGTTTTGATAGCTGCTATAAAGCTAAAGACAATGAAAAACTTTCAAAAAGTATACATTAATCTTGATCAAACTGAGGTCAAAAAGTTGTAAAAGAAGAATCTAATTATTGACAATAACAAATGCACCAGAAAACTTGCTATACAAGGAACTATCAACAAGCCTTTTTGATAAAACATTCGAGGAACTAGAGTCTGCAAACTCTGCATCAAGTAATTTGACAAGAAAATACTGTCATCAGTCTTGCTGGTTTATAATTCTGGTATACTAATACCACATTGCTAAATAACAAATTTGATAAATAGTTAATAAATATTGAAGTTGAGCAACCACATATGTAATGATATGTAAAACATAGCAAAGTGAACTATCAACTACAAATATTCCAAATTATTATTTTTTTAGACCATACAAGTTAATTAATAAGAGACATATGCATTTATAGTCATGATAGCATTAGTTCTTTTATTTTGTTTATTACTTATTTACATAATGACAAGATTGAGTAAATATGGCGCTTGGTTTGACAGTTTCAGAAATAACTTTTTGTGGGTGTATTTATAGAGTAGATGGAGTAATGGAAATAACTAGCAAGTTGTAGATTCAGTCAGTTATTCTTATAAGTTAAAAAACTCAATAATCAGGTTCACATATTGGTGGTGACTTTAAATACTTAATATATATTTAACTCAAGTTATAAATCGAGCAAGATTTCAACTAAATAACAAGGAAACATAGAACGCATACTTGTTTCATTAAACTTTAAAAAATATTAAAGTTAGTAAACATAACGGGTAATTACCCGTTATATCACGTTTTCAAACATAACGCTTACATAACGCTAACATAACGCAAGATTTCGTGTTTTATAACGGGTAATTACCGTTACGTTCAATGTATAATACACTTTGTTAATACGAGTTTTACATTAAACATAACAGAAATTACCCGTTATAAAACAGAAAATATAATGTTATGTTTTTTTAAAATACATCGGGTATTTTCTTTACTGTGTAACTGTAAATGAAATAAATAAACATATTAATGTAATTTAATATCTAAATAAAATATATTTTACAAAAAAATGTACTCGATTTAAATTATTATAAACTTCTTTTCGTCCAATTTACAATATTAAAATATAAATAATTGAAAAATATGCAGCGTTGCCTGTGATAAATTTTAAAGTTTTGGTTTTTAAAAAACGAAAGACAAAATCCTGACCATCCATAAAACCAAGCATTCAATATACTTTTCAACAGGTTTATGCATTATTAGCGATTTTTGATAAAGTGTTCATTGAATTTCTAGAAAAAAAACTCTTGTTAATAATAATTATGTATGTATATTATATTTAAAGGCAGATTTTTGTATAGAATTTTTAAATTTTTTACTTCTTTTTGCTGTAAACGATGCCATGTAAGTTGAATTTCACAATTCACAATGTCATAGACTATTCCAAGTCTAAAAAAGAGTTAAGCTCTGTGAATTTATCCAAACAAGCTACAATAATATAAACTTTAGTAGTAGTAGTAGTAGTAGTAGTAGTAGTAGTAGTAGTAGTAGTAGTAGTATTAGTAGTAGTAGTAGTATTAGTAGTAGTAGTAGTAGTAGTAGTAGTAGTAGTAGTAGTAGTAGTAGTAGTAGTAGTAGTAGTAGTAGTAGTAGTAGTAGTAGTAGTAGTAGGAAGTTATGTTTTTATATTTTAAACTTAGGTTTACCTGTATGATTTTAATTTTTTTTAGGTATGGCTGATAATGAAATAAATATAAGCACGTCCTTAAAATCAATTATTGAACAATCGAAATATATTGATAATAATGATAACTTACTAAATGCAATACTTAAAAACGGGATGAAAGGGCTGTATCAATTTCAAGGAGAAATTGCGCCATCAACCTTTAAATGTTTGGTATACTCAGTTGAAAAACATTTTACAAACAGTGAAAACTGTAAGTGCTACAAATAGTTTTTTTTATGTTTGGTACGACTTTTTTTTTTTTTTCAACTTGTTTTGTAACGCTTTCATCTTTTTAAAATCTCACTAAAAATTAGTTTTTTACAAAAAAAAAAAGTTAAACAAATATATTTAAGTTCCACTAGTAAAATCATCTTAAAAAGTGGATTATTTTATCAAATTGATTTTGATAAATTTAAAAAATTTAATGTATTATAAAAAAACACAACAGAAAACAATTACTTTTGCTATCGTTGTTTTATTAGTTTTTTATTGCTTACGGTGTTTATTTTGTGGTTTCACTAACTGAGTATTTATGGTGTTATTTTGATTCAACGTCTTAAAAAGTAAAATGTTATAGCTTTGGTATAATTCCACCTCTAATTAGATTAAATGAGATTTACTGCCAGTTAAAGTTTAGAAAGCAAATACAAATTTATAGTATATAAAAATTGGATTTACTCCAAATAGTTTCTGTGCCTTTGATAAAGTTGCTAACTTGTAATGCTAAAGGACTTTTATATTGCAATCTTTCATTGTCATATCTTTAAGAAGCGTTTAGTTTAAAGTTTGCTTAACTTGAACCAAGATTTAAAGCTGAGCCTGTGGTCAAGGTTATTTAGCACAAAAAATAATCTTGTCACAACGTAGAAGATGTGGCAACACCATGTCTGAATTATTTTGGCTGTAAGCTTTACCGAAATGCTGAAAAGCAGTTTGTAATTTGGTGTGATAATTGTAATTGCCAAAGCAAGAAATGCGCACTTTACAGAGCTCTGTGTTTTACTGTAAATGAAATCATGGGCGTTGAGTTGATTACATTAGGGTTACACTATTATCTGCGCCAGAAGTTTCCATGGCTCGACTAAGAAATCAAGAAAATAAATTTTTACATCTTTACAAATATCTTTACACAAATAGTCATGCCATGTAAATGCAATATACAGATTTGAAATAAAGATCCAGCCGTGCAAAATATATCCAAAGCAGTGTTGAAATATATTCTTTTTGTTATTGTTTTAATGAGTTTTTCACTTTAAATAATGACACCTTACGTTTGGCAACTATAAAATATCATTTCGTTTATATGAATAAAATGTGATCTTTCGCATTTTATTAAAAAAAAAAATTACTATGTGATTTTTAATTAGACATAATTGCATCTTGCCATATGAAATGCATTTTTGTCCTCGATCTAAAAGATGTTACGCTAAAAAATAATTACTCACGAAGGATACTTTAATATTAAAAAATAATTACCCACGATAACCCACGAATTGATCTTAATTTGAATGTCGAAATCAAGCAAAATAGTGTGACAATAGAAACATCTGTCAAATAACAACCTTTTATTTAAATTAATGAAAAACAATGCTTAAGGAGAATATGGTCAAACCAAAATCTGAATTAAATTTTAACCAGATTGGTTAATTGGTTATAAGAGATTTATATCAGTTTTTATATATATTCTGTTATGTTTTTGATAATTATATCTGAAAACAATACGAAATGCAGTGATATTCGATCAATATTTTTAAAATAATAATTATGCAAGTTTTTTACAATGTAACTTCAACAATTTTGTGAAAAATGTTTTATTACTACAACTTCCATTATCACCTTATAGACCAAAATATTGATTTGCTATTCAAAGAATGGTTTGATTTGGCTCATGTATTGCATCAAAATATTGGCATTTTTTTACGTATAAACTACTTTCAAAATGCATAAAAATGTTAAAAAATGGTTGGAAAGTTTTTATGATACTTTATATTAGATATTATAATACCTAAATTTGATATCTATATGAAAAATTTTAAAAATTTAGATAAGATAACTAAAATATTTAAAAAATAAAATTTTTGAACGCACAAAACTTGTATTTTTTTTTTAAATTTATTTGAGTTAAATAACTTTAAAGTAAACTTTTCTGGGTTTTTTCTTTGTATACAAGTGACTTGTATACTTTGACTACATGTTTATATTACCCTTCAATATATAATAACTCTGCCTTTACTTTCGTTTTTTATTTTTATAAATTTATTTTGTAAATAAAATAGTAATTAACATTACAAAGTATTTACAAAAAAACGCATTTCATTTTTCACAAGGGAAATATAGGCAACTTAGTTATTGATTATTGTAATAGTTCTTTTGAAGTATGTTACAGGTTTGCGTTTGATTATCTGGTAAATATACTTTTATGTCATTTATGCATCGCACTCGTCATAAAGCGACGTATAATTGCCCATATCAGAAGTCTGGTTTTAGCAGATATAATTCAACCTTTTCGAACGTTTTTCCCTGATTTTTATTGATTGTCATCTCGAATGACAGTCGAACTGGAAATTGATGTCAACGCAGGCAAAACGGTAGTGTCTGATCGTTCGGGAGTTGCTTGCATGTTTCGTGTTAATGTGAAGGTTTTAAAACGATGCCATAAAGGCGATCGCTTGATTGATGCCTTCAAAATTGATTCCATGGATTCTTTTGGAATTGCAAGAAGCATTTGTCGAAAGTCGACAACAAGAACTGGTAATATCTTGTTAACAATGGGAGACAATTCATTCAACGTCAGCATATGCGCATGTTTTGCTTTTTTGTTTTGACATCGTACGGTGTCTGTAGTTTTCATGGAAGTCTTGTACTCTTTCCAAATCGATAGAGAGTCATTGGTTTCGCCAAAACAAATTACGTGAGCAATTAACGGTCGCATTTATGATGGCATTGAAGGAAAGATGCTTCTTGTAAACTGTAATGATATTCATTGTTGTCTTTCAGGTATCCAGCTGCACGAGCTGCATTTTTAAACGTTGGATAGGTTGTTCCATTGACTGTTTGTAAATGGAACAGTCAATGGAAAAAAGGAAAAAATAATGCTTTGGTATTCGGTAATACGAAAACTGTTGGGAGTTGATGGTGTTGTTTTTTTGGCTGCTCCTTCTTTAAAAGAGTTTTTCGAGCGCTCGTTTAATTGAAACCATGTGGTTAAAGTTGCGTTTTTTGCATTTGCTTTTTTAACTGCGTTGGCTTCGTTACCTAGTTGGAAGTAAACATTTTGAAATTCTTGTAGATGTAGGGCTAGGCCAGAAGTATTATGTGATTGCGACCGAGGCCGAATATTCGCCACGCAGCTTCTGGTGGACTAACATATTGAGCAACTGGCCAAAATTTTGTCATACATAGGTTGTCGCTGGCGCTGTTGCTTTTGTTGAATATTTATGGCTGCTTTGTCAGGTCCTTTGTAGATATGCTTGTATAGGTACTTAATCAATGCGATGGTAGCGCAAATTATGATGTTGATGTGACAATTGTATTTTGCTTGGATTAGAAGCGATACAACACGCATATCACGGACGAAGTAGCAACAATATTTTTGCTGGAAAGTGATAAAATACCACCTACCCGCAGCTTTGCAATTTACTACAAAATTGGTCAAAAATAATTTAGTAACTATATTAATTCTCGTTGTGATCCACTCAACTATCAGCTTCTCCTTCCAAATGGTGAAAATCCATGGCATCCAAATTTAATTAAAGCGCCATCGCATCGAAATCGCGCTTGCATTATGCAAATATAATATTATAGTTATCAACTGCCAATTAGACCAAAGGAGTAAAACCCACTTTTACGCGCTAACAAACTCTTTCAGCAGTACGTTGTGGACGCCTATGTTAAATTAGAGCAAAATCGTATTTATTACCACCGTCTACATCAAAATAAATTGCGAGCTGAACATTATTGCGTTTTAGCAGATCATTTAGCAACGGATGAAGCTACAGACATCCAAGTTGGATGGAAGATTATATTACCTTCAACGTTTTCATGGAGTCCAAGAGCATTGAAACAATATTATCAAGACCTAATGGATATGGTAGCAAAATATAGAGAACCAGGTTTGTTTATTACAATTACGTACAATCCAAAATCGACAGAAACTACCGAAATTCTTTTGCTAGATCAATCACCATCAGACAGACCAGATGTTGTGGCGATAGTATTCCATATTAACTTAAAAACAATACTGGATGAAATTTTAAAAAATGAAATTCTCGGCCGTGTCAGCGCATACATGGGTGTTATTAAATTTCAAAAGCGCAGCTTACCTCACTGCCATTTATAATTGATTATGGATGCCAACTACAAAATATAAAGGCCCGAAGACTCCGATCGTATTATTAGTGCTGAAATCCCTAATCCAGAGTCAGAAAATCTTTCAAACGAAATCGTAGCGACTATGATGATGCACGGAATCTGCGGTGCAACGAATGCTAATGCACCATGCATAATCGATGACGTATGCTAGAAACGATTCTCCAAGACAATCAAGTATATGACCTCTGGATAATGATGGCTACCCAAAATACCGTAAAAGGAATACAGGCTGCTGTATCGACTCAAAATCTAAACGAGCTAATAATCAATGACTGGTGCCTTACAACAAATACTTACTAGGGACTAATGTCAAAAACTAGCTGAACCTGTGGTGCTGCGCGTCCCTCCTCATGCGCTTCTTTTTCTTTAACTTCGGCTATATCTTTCGTCATAAGAAAATTTTTTGCGTATGGGTTTATTTATTCAAGCAACTAACTCAAATAGACCATTAACTGCTTGTCACAGTTGGTATTCGCGACATATCACATTTGCTCATCCGCTGCCACCGTAGAATCGAGAACTTGGAACTGTGCATGTAGACGCGAGTCGCTACCACTCGGTTGTAAAAAGTTAATTTGAAGTTAAATCTGTCTGTGGATTCAAAAGCATAATGGCTCACCTCCTCGTAGTGAGACAATTTTTGCTCCCATCAAATATAGCGCGCTGTTGTTCTGTATTTCCATCCTGCAGTTGTTGTAATTTCCGTGGATAATTTTGAATAAATAAAGTACTGACACCAAAGTTGCAGCAGTTGTTCTATTCTTTTCCTTTCTTATTGCTATTTTAAGCTGTAAAATAAAGAGCGTCGCAATGGATGCACTGGTGGTTTATTTTCCAATA